AACTGTCTTCTTCTTGGTTATCGACGCAGTATTGGATGACTTCCCCTTGCCTGTCGCAGCTCGCATCTGCACTCGCCAGATCTGAAGTACGCCACCTGACACCAATGCGATTGAGCCACGGCCTCTGCCAGAAAGCCAGCATACGCTGTATGGCTTGACGCCGCTAGGTGACGATGGCAGCGTCATCTTGTTGTCGCCCGCGTGACGTATGTTATTGATTGACTTGCCTACACCAGCAGCAACGGCTTTACCGGACTTTGCGCCAGCAGCAGGTGTTACACCTAGACCACTTAGACTGAATCGAGACCCCGCAGCGCTGTTCTTCGCGCGGACGGCATCAAACCAAGGCCTAGCGCTATTGACGGCCTGCATTGCTGAGTTGACCATGCCGTTTGAACCCGTGGGACCCGTGGCCTCCTTTGGTGGGGCAGAGGGTGCCGCAGGACGAATTCGTCGAGCTGGCGGCCATTGGAAGGCTGACGCAGGCATAGGAAACATGTGTACTGTTCCTTTATCGGTGATGACTGCTAGTTTATCGACTCGAGGAGCAGACCAAACAACATCAATGACATTGGCAACAGTCATTCTGGTAAATCGGGCGACTTGTCGAACATAAGGACCGGATGGTTGCTCTCGAAGAGTTTTACGGACTCGTCGGAAATTCATCCGCTTCAAGTCCCAAACATCCTGGTAATCGCCCTTCTTGCTTACAGTCATGAGCATCAGACCGCTGGGGGCGAATGACATGAAGCTACAGCCGAGAGCTGCTGGTATAGTAGCAACGGGATGGAGAGCGTTCTTGTTCCTCGTTTCTTCCGCGTCCACCAGTCTCTGCAAGTCGTAAACGGAGATGACGGTTGCTTCTTGTCTTGGCTGAGTCTGGCTGTGGCCATGAGTCGGTGGGAAGTAGTGCTGCATAGGATCTTGCCCATATGGCACGTTATTTCCTTGCTGACCTCTGTTCATGTAGCTCTTGAAGGCTTGCACTCCCTTCTCGGTAGCCCAGCGCGCGCCCTTGATTGCAACTTGTGTCCCTTCCCGTGTAATTCTATCGAGCAAGCCTGCTTCGTTAGGCATGTCGACAGCACAGTTGGGCGACGGCTGAGGTGGTACGCTATGGTGTGCAAGGCCTGGAGCACGCTCATAGTACGGTGAGGTCAGCGCGACACCATTAACAGGGTAGAGCGCACTCGAAGCTGGTGGAGTGACTGCGAGCCAGCGATCAGAGAGAGAAAATACGGGCAAGCCATATTTCTCAGGAGGGATCTCGTCATGACTTCCATCGACGGCACTCGAACCGTTTGAGTGAACAGCTCGTTCGCGATTCTGAACCGAAGTCCACAGTTTGCCAATGCAGCGGAACTGCTCGCCGTACTCTGGGTGATTTCCCAGGTAAGGTGCGAATACGAAGACTTCGCCACTTGCGCCAGATGCAACGACAACAAACTTGCCCTTCGCCTCGATGACAAAGTCGCCTATTGGAGGTGGAGGTTGGAAGAGCGGGCTGTCAATTGGACTCGTGAGAGGGATCAAAGGAGTTCGGTATAGGACAGCTAGCCTCCGCTTCTCTTTCAGTGAGTAAATTTCGACGGTCGTCTGGTAGCCACTGATCTGGCCATCCCGATTGCCATGTCTCGAGGATGGCCTACTAGGAGATTCAGAGGCTGAGTCGTCGACCACGGAGGATGCCCCGCTTCCACTAGAACTTCTACTGTCCTTGACGACCGGGCCGTGAAGAATGAGTGCGACCAGTGGACGGGAAGCAGCTAGAGGGTCTCGCCGCGATGTCCAGGGCAAGATCTTGGCACCTATGACACCACCCCTGAGGCCTTCTAGACGGCCCACGATATCCATCTTGCTCTTCTCGACACGGAAAACGTCGAGCCCTCCTTGAGATCCAACGAGCAGCACATTCTCGGATGACCGAGCTGCCTCATCTCCTGCCATGGATAGAGTGTCGAAGCCACAGAAGTAGCCTCCTTCGCCCGGCTGGATACCATCGGTTGGGCCATTGTTGAGGCCAAAGTCAATGTTTGGCAAGCCATAGTAGTGTGCTTGAGGTTGATGTGGCAGGGGCGGGTTTGGCACGAAGTGTTGCGAGGGCGGACGAGCGCCGTGTTGCGAATACATGGATGCCCTGCGATCTCTGCCGGGCGAGTTCTGCAGACGGTCGCCAAAGTTTGTGTATTGACTTGGATGACTCAGAGGCCTTGCACCTGGAGGGGAGTTGGACATGGCCTGTTGTGCATACAGTCCGTCTCGTGCACCTGGCGAGTTGTGAAAGGTAGGCGGTGAACTGGCTATGGCTATGCCACCGTTTCCTGGCGAGCCCGAGTTGGGAAAGAAGGGCACCGACTTGGCCCACTCGTTGGTGTATTGTGCGGCCGTGGTTCGCGTGGCACCGATAGCCGATAGTAATGGAGACGTGGTGGCATTGTAGTTTGAGGGTGGAGACGTGGAGGACAGACGCTTTGCTGAGGAAGGCGACTTGGTTCTGCGGCAGTCAGTTATGTTTGAGGACAAACAGGAGTCACTCGGTCGCTCTTTCCACCTGAGCGTCACCCCTGACGTGCACATGGCAGGGACACCTACATCTCTCTGGGATAGATGCGCGTAACCTTGTCGGCCGCCCTATTTCTTCTTCCCAACTCATATCTCGACGTGTTGCGGCCGCGCGCTTGTGGCGTGTCCTGTACCTTTGTGCCTTTGCGCTGTTGCTTGTGCAGGTAGGTGAGGTTGGAGACAGGCGTCGTATACTCGGCGGCGTTGTCGGGCGATGAGCTCATATAACCTGTGGATAAGCGTGTGGAGGTGTCTGTTGGAGCGCCAGCTCAGTCGTGGAGAGTTGCTATGTGTCGTGGCCTGGAGGTAGGTTGTGGGGGTAGCGACGGATGAGCGCGGCGAGTGAGTTCGGATGGATGCTAGACACGGCGTTGCGTCATGCGCCTTCGTGACCAAGGCGCGTGAAGGTTGCAGTCCCGTGCTTGCACAGCAAGACGCTTATACAGAGTACTGGCTGGTGCCTTGTTCCTGACTCGGCGGCGCGTTATCGGGGCCTATCTGGTCTTCGCTCGGTATGATCGGGAGGCGCTCGTGGTGGCTATCGTTAGAGCCGCGGGGCTGGAGCTTCACGCGGCACGCTATGTAGGAGGCTCCTCAGCGCGCAATGCAAGTCAGTCTGGATACAGCGCGCAGTCGTGAGTCAACTTGGAGCTTTATCTAAGCTTCCAAGTGTTGAGATATGAAATGCAGGGCGTCGTAAGTGCAGTTAGCTGTGTCGCTGGCCTGGTCGGTACTGAGGGGCAGCTCATAGCTTATGCAGGTGCATGTCGCACCCTCACCCTTCCATTCGCCCTGCAACATGCTGGCCGCCGGCACCGCCCTTTGCGCTGATATCTAGCCCCTCTTTAGCTGCTTCTAGTCATTCCCAGATTGCGGGCGTGCTAGTTAGGTCAAGTGACTTCAGCGAGCACGGTAGATGCCTGAGTAATGTTGTTGGGCAGCCACATGCGGCGTTCCGCGAAGCATTCCGATCAGTGACGTCCTGTCATGCATATCACGAGGCCCACATCCCGCGCGGCATCTCGTGGCTTGCACGTGCTTGTATCTTTGGTCTCATCCTACAAAACCACAGCCGCATCGCTCACAAGAAGTGACATTTGACAGGTAGAATCTTCCCATTTCCAGTTCAAAGGCATGATCCGTGTTGTCCCGTCCACAAGGACGATGATCAGCAAATTGACTCTCAGCTCGGGAATACGCCCAGACAGCCTTGTCCGTAACCTTGCGATGATTTACCACTTTTGGTGTAAGCGACCTGCCATCCTAGAAGAGCTTCGCATCGTACGTGCTAGCCGACGTAAGTAATGCAAGCGAACGTCCTGGGTAAACTCAGGTACAAAAGTATGCAATCCCCAGGCAGATCGCGAATAATTAGGTACTCACCAAGCATTCACTCATCATGTTCAAGTCAAAGTTTCTCAGCCTCGTCTCCTTGGCCCTTCTCCCTGTGGTTCTCGCGCAATCTGAATACACGAATCTCCCAGAAGTACCACCAGGTGTCTTCAGTGCAAGCGCGCGCACTGAAATTAAAACCACCGTCGACGCTGCTTGGGACGCACTCACCGACTTCCCCAATTACGGAGCTTGGAACCCATTCGTGCGCTATGCTCTCGTCACTTCAGCCAACAACATCACCCTACCCGACCAGCGAGCTGTCGAAGGCAACTACTTATTCTTCCGTGTACAAATCCCTCCGCTCCCGTTGCCGGTGAATAAGGACACACCAGACAATCTCTTGCATACGCAGACTGCTTTCGAGCGCATAACTCATGTACAGCCAGAATTGGGAAGGCTGGCGTGGGATTACTTGGCGGAAATTGCTGTCAAATCGACGCGATGGCAGGCGGTCAGCGACATAGGCAACGGCACTGTCTTGTACGAGTCTCATGAGGAGTTTAACGGGCCGTTGGCTGGAATATTAAAAGAGACGCTTGGGGAGAGCCTGCAGGAATCTTTCGAAGCACAAGGAGAGGGGCTGAAGTTGTACCTTGAAGGTAAATAAATAGCGTAGGATTGCGATACCTTAGCATCTTGTCTTGAGCATACCAAATTCGTTCTACTTCATGTTCATGGCATTCCGATGAGATGGATAATGTGAAAGTCTGATACGATATGTAGTCGGAACAGTCCCAGATGAGCAGCGAAGGAGCACATCGGCGTTGGAAACAGCCATGCCGGGATCCCTGCCGCTCCGCGGGCATGCGCGCATCTGTCGCAATCGCACATGTGCAGTACACGCGTGTAACATCAGGCGCTCACCCACCATGAGGCCTTGTCTCAACAACATGTCTCTGTATTCTGACTGTCTTTTATAACACTCTCTCTTTGGTCTGGCACTAGTCACATTCCTGCTTCTGCTATCGCGACACCCCAAGGTCGCATGCCGCACAATCGTTATCGCCCATGTACATAGCTCTTTCTGAGGTCCTCTCTCCACCATGACGATAAGTCCTGAGCTCGAAGCCTTTGCACGAGCGATATCACGCGTACTAGGCTGGGCGTACTTCCTGTCGTGGTCAGTACCAGCCATCCCTCGTCACGCACTCTATGATCCCATACTAACTCACGATCAGGTCTCTGTCTTTCTACCCCCAACCTATATCGAACTATATCCGCAAATCCACGCTCGGTCTCGCAATAGATTTCCCCACCCTCAATGTCCTCGGTTTCACCTGCTATACCATCTCTACAGCCTGCTTCCTATATTCGCCTACTATCAAGTCGCAATATGCGTACCGTCATCCGGAAGCGCCTCAGACGACAGTACGATTTAATGACTTCCTGTTCGCAGCACATGGCGCAGTCATGTGTGTGATTATTTACAGTCAGTTCTTCGAGAAGATATGGGGCTTCGAGATTGGCAAGAGGCAAAAGGTCAGCCGGGTCATACTAGGAGTTTGGTGGGGATGTGTGCTTGCTATCGTGGTCGTGGTGATGCTTGTAAAAACCAGAGGAGCAGAAGGAAACGATGCGCAGGGGTGGGCATGGCTCGATGTTGTGAGTTGACCCAACTCTACACCTTCTGACCTTGCAAGTTCATGCTAATACCGAACAGATATACACGCTCGGCTACGTCAAACTTCTCACCGTATTTCTCAAATACATACCGCAAGCCTGGGTTAACTATAAGCGCAAATCTACGCTAGGATGGAGTATTTATCCTATGCTCTTAGACTTTGCTGGAGGTTGGCTTTCGCTTGCGCAGTTGTGCATCGATTCCGCGTTGGAAAACGATTGGAGTGGTGTCACAGGCAACCCAGTTAAGTTCGGGCTGGGAAACATTACTATTGTGTTTGATATAATCTTTATGCTGCAGCATTATGTGCTGTACAAACGTCCTGCAAAGCATTTGGAGGATGAGGACGAAGAGGAGAGGCAAGGACTTGTGGCGGGTCAGAGGGACTAGAAATTACATTGTGACATTCCGTCAATAACTTGAACCATTAAGGCTTGAAGCTGTCTGATGGTGAAGTGCTGCTTCATGCCAGACCTATTCAATCCAAAGAAGCGACATTGACGCTCCTCTCAGACTCTTGGGACGTTCTTGGTATGACCGGAAAAAAGTCCGTGGACGGATAATCCAGCCCTTTCCTCGACAGAATCCGCGTACGTACCGTCAATTCCTACCGAAGAGCGCTATGGAATATAGGGACGCGTGGAGTAGGAAATGTGAAAACTAGCCTCCTGCTATGTGTTCCGGCCTCACAACAAGCGCCGACAGACTAAGCGTCGCGTTCCTGAATCACCTTCTACCAGAACATGCCCCGCACTAGCCTGCCGCGCGACACCTCCGAGCCTCTCCACATCTTTCCGACTCAGCGTTAGCAAGTTCCGGTAGAATATATATCCAGCATAACTCACATCTTAATCCTACAAATACGTATTGGACCCTGCTCGAAGTGTCCCCAGGATTCCTATCATCTTTTCACATATATCGCAACAATGGCACCAAACTGGGACAGACTTATTCGCTTCATTGCGACAGATGGCCGTGAGCTGCGGGGTCAGCCAATTCTCCCTTCGGCAGACTTTGACGTTGGTACTACAACAGAAGAGACGGGACTAAAGGCCAAAGTGATCGATGTTAAAAACAACGACATCTTCGACTCAGCCACCAAGGTCACAGACGAAGAAGTAACGGTCAAGAAATTGCTCGGTCCAGTAACAGTGGATGAAGTGCCTATCATCCGCTGCATAGGTCTGAACTTTATCAAGCACAGTAAGTTTACCTCTCTGCTATACAATTCCGCCCATTGCCATGCTGACAACTTCCCATAGTCCAGGAAGGTGGCCGCACCCTCCCCCCATACCCGTCCACCTTCATAAAAGCAAACACATGCTTAAACGACCATGGTGCGCCCATTGTCATCCCAAAAATCGCACAAGACAACCAAGCCGACTACGAGGGCGAACTTTGCTTCATCATCTCCAAGGACGCCAAAGACGTATCCGAAGCTGAAGCTTTCGACTACATCGGCGGCTACACATCCGGCAATGACGTCTCATCGCGTAAACTTCAACGAGACCCTCTCCTAGCAGGAACAGTGCCACAATGGAATTTCTCAAAAGGCTTCGATACCTACGCGCCTCTGGGCCCCCAACTCGTTTCCACCAAAGTTATCCCTGACCCGTCCAAACTGCATCTCAAGACCATCGTTAATGGCGATTTGAGACAAAACTCAGGCATTGACGACCTGTGTTTCAAGATCCCAACCTTGGTGAGCTATTGCAGTCAGGGCACTACGCTAAAGAAGGGGACTGTGTTCATGACGGGTACGTGTGCGGGTGTTGGTTATGCGATGAAGGAGCCGCAGTTCTTGAAGCCGGGCGATGTGGTTGAGGTAAACCTGAGTCCAGAGATTGGCACGCTGAAGAATACGGTCGAGTATGCTTGAACGAACGGATAAATCCCGGAATTGATTCAAGAAATACGTCACTACTTTTTCGTGAATGAAATCTTGCTAGCCAGAATACAGGAAGATACACTACGTATCACAACTTTCAGATCTTCGATCTAGCCTTACTCTTCTGCTCCATCTCCTCTCTCTTGATCCTGAACCTCTCCGCGGGCGCACCCTCAACGAACCTTTCGGCCAACGCATCAATAGCATTAACTACAGCAATCATCCGCGCATCCCTAATCGGCGCATTTTGCAACCTCTTCATCTCCATCATACTCTTTCCATCATTCCCCTTTAGCTGCTCCTCCAAGAACTCGACAACCTTGCCTTGGAACTCATCACCCGTAGCGTCCCACACATAATTGTATAGACCCGCATCAACAAGCTCCTGTGCCGAGAGTTTACGGCCGAACATGAGGAAGTCGTTGGCCCGGTGAATGCCAATGGATTGGGCAAAGGATAAAGCGGATCCGTTTTCAGGGACGAGACCAAGGGCTGAGAAAGGACATTGCAGCCAGGCTGTTGAGGAAGCAAGGACAATATCCGCAATACCCGGGAACCAAGCTGCACCACCACCGACAGCGGGACCGTTTAGGGCAAGGATGAGGACTTTGCGGTGGTCGATCATGGAGCGTAGAAGTTCCGTGGCATAGCCAAACCGAGTCATGAAACTCAGTTTCTTCTCTCCATCATTTTTGAACACTTCACCACCGCCGGGGATGCCTTTGACGTCTGCGCCGGCGGAGAAGAATCGGCCTTCGCCCGTCAGGACGGTAAAGACGGTATCTGGGTGCTCATTTAGAACACGTAGTGCGGCGATGACGTCTGGGATGAGATTTCCGCCGAAGGAGTTGAGGGCCTTGGGACGGTTGAACTAGGGAGTTGTGTTAGTTCTAGACATATACCATGACACGGATATCGATGATTCGACGAGAGAATTCTTCGTTGAATGCTCCAGAATCCTGTCACGGCAGAAAGAGCATGATTGGGGTAATCTTTTACCTTGATGATACCAATCTGTCCCTTGATCTCGAACTTGATGTCAGAGTAGTCCGATGAAGAAGTCATGATGTTTCAGAAACTAGCTTCTTTGAGACAAGTAGACGAATTTTAGCTATGACCAGTACACTTTTTTCTAAAGAGTTGTTGTTGAGTCGTTCTTTTCGATGGAATGGCGACCTGCTGAAGACTTTCGGTCCTAGGAGCTGAGTTGTGATTGAATAGTAAGCTTTCCCCGCCTGGGACGCGACGGGCCTCGGTTCGGTAACAAAGCTGGGGTATTATTGGGCGTACCTATGCACGCGTCAACCTAAACTATTATTGTAAAACTCTGGAGAGGTGATTTACGGATATCAGCTTGAGACGCCAATTGTGTGATGGAAGTGATGCAGCGACGTTGTACAGCCGCTTACGCGTGAATGGGTTGCTGACGATACTGATAAGGACATGTTCGCGTTTAACCTCGGCACGTTTTTATTGCACGTCATCACGGGCGTTACGTCCATGACTAAGGCACGCAGACAATAATAAAGAGAAGTCAATTTAACATCGTTAGCCAAGATGACTGCAAGTACTCTCAGTTGAGTTGTAGTTTTACATACATAACGACACGCCACTCAGATTGAGTAATATTCATAACTAATGATTCATATATTGCAGGGACTGAAAATATACCTTTCTCTTCATGGGAGTGGATAAATACATCTATCATACATCTACTCTTGCTAACCCTCGAAGACTCCATGATTTAGCTCAACGCCAAAGTCCTTGGCCATAACGCGCATGTGCGCTTCGATATCGTCTTCCATACCTCCACCAACGCCAACCAGTTGCTTGAGCTTACTCCAGAAGAACACCGCATCGCTAAGTGCCAGTACGCACCGGAACCGCAGATGGTTGACCCAATTCTTCCATCTCTGGCTCACGCTAAGGTCCCTGGATTCAATCAACGCTCTACTAGCCCACAATCCGGTGATCTTGATACGGTTAACAGGCGAACCAAGGAACTGATTGTTACCCTGTACGATACGCAAGTTGCGGCCGATGAACAAGAGCTCACGAGGGAATTTTGCATCGTCGCCGAGAATGAGTTTGATGGCGTCGCGACCTTTGGCTTGCATTTCGAAGGCGCGTTCAGCCTGATCTTTGCCTTTTCTCTCGGATTTGAGGACCTCTGCTACGCTTTTGTCACCACCTTGGTATGGGCGCATGAGCGTTGCTGATGCGAAGATGTCAGCGTGCTTGACGCCCCAGCTGCTGACAATCTCCTCAATCTTAGCATTATCGAAGGCGAGGAGTGATTTCCAGAATTCCGAGTATTGAAGGCGGAACTTGGGGTCCATGCGAATATACAGACCGTGATCGATGAGGACAACCTCAGGCTGTCCGTTAGGTAGGCGGCGAATGAAGATGTTTCCAGGGTGAGGATCGCAGTGTACCGCACCCCAGAGGAACATCTGTGCTGAGAAGAGGTCGACGATGGTGTTCATGGTAGTTTTCAATGAAACACCAAGACCGCCTTTGCCATCGTTACCTCGCCATGAGTTACGGTCCGGCTTGAAGCATTCATACTGCGTGGCGTCCTCTGGGACATGTGTATCAACCTTGGCGTCCTTGGGGATAGGGGGAAGAAGGTTGCCACCAGCACCAGGGCTGCCTCTGCGCCATCCACCTTTCCAGCTGTTTGTGATGCCTTCTTTGTCCCACAACCGCACTCCTTCAATCCATTCAGCAGTCATGACACGCTTGCTCGAAAGCTCGCGATATACCGCAGGAATGTAGACTCGACCATTGAGCCGCGGCTCTGCAGCCACAAGTCCCTTCATTTCTACGGCGTTGTCCGCTTCGTTCTCGAAATCGGTTTCCAACATCAGGCGCTCGGAGATGTATGGGACCAGGGTGTAGACAGGGATGCCAAACCACCAAGTGTAGACTTTGGAAACAACCTTGAAGGCCCACAGGTCCCATCCGACCTGCTGCGCAATCTCTCTCTTCTGGATCTTGATCGCTACCTCTCTTCCGTCTGCCAACCTTGCCCAGTGGACTTGCGCAACACTTGCGCTAGCCCTTGCAGTCTTTTCCATTATACCTCGACCGTCTTGTCCATCTCGTGTGAAGCTGACGCCAAATACTTCCTCGGCGCTTTTGCCAAAGTCCTCTCTTATGACTTGCTCAACCTCCCACCATTCATTCTGCGGCGCGTCGTCAAACATTTGCTGGAACATCTTCTGGAACTGCGGCGGTAGTATTGCGCTTTGCATGGCAATCGCCTGCCCAATCTTCAGGTATAGTCCGCCATTGTACCGCAACAGATCGAATATTCTCTGTGCGTTCCTTGCATGGAGATCCTCGATGCTATTCGCCAGCGGTGGGTGCGCACGGAAGTTGATCTTGTAGTCTATGCCTATCAAAAGACCAGTCTTGAATGTGCGCAAACTACGTGTGATGGATGAAGCGTAGAATTGCCTGTCAGCCAGCCATCCCGCACCGAGCAGCGCAGAAACGACGGCAAGGCGGCGCACCCATTTTCGGCGAGTAAACGGAGGCTTGATTTTGCGCTGCCTCGGCTTTGGTAGGTCTGCGGGATTGGGAGGGCGTAGAGGCTCCCATTGTTGTGTCTGCAGGCGGCGAACGATGGGTGCCTGGTAGAGTCGCGTGGGGGCCAAGGTTGACGTCAGCAGTCGTGATGTCGCATATTGGGCAGGTGCTCTTCGAAGAGCAGACAGGCCATGTATCATGGCTGTCGAAGGCAGGACGGAATCAGCACGAGAAAAGTGTGGTAGGACATGAGGACTACGTTGTGAGATTCAGTTATCTTTCGCGCAGTGTCGGACTTAAAGTCATGACGGCATTTTCAACGCCGCCCGAATAAACCGCTATTTCGTCCGTGCACAATAAGACATACCAACTCCATCTTCCGATCCAACCCGAACATTTGAATCTCTGTGGATTGATAATCAATTGTCTGCGGCTTTGAAGTCATGTATTTTTTTCTTGGAGTCAAAAACTCTGTCTTCGCGTGATCGGTCATGAGGAGAGTTACACCCAGAACTGTCTCTTCGCCGAATACGGTGGATGACTATCCTGTGCCTGTTGATGAGAACCTCCCCCTTCTTTAACCAAACTGTAGAACGTTCTGATTTGAGAAGCGGCGAACCAATTCGGATAAGGCACTGTCACACCATCTGGCGCTTGTTGACGTTACTTGAGGATGCAATCGAAAAGTGGCACTGGGGAGAAGGCCAATCTTCAAATGCTCACGACTGGTCATTCTGTGGCACTTGACTTTTCTCCACAGCCTGGAGATCAACATTCCACCTCTTTGCCAGTTCCTCAACGACGCCCATCCACTTCTTCACTAGGGGATGCTGATCCGATACCTCTCTGAATGTGGGATCTTCATCCTTCCCTACAACACCCCACTTCCATATTCCTTCCTCATCTACCCATTGGCGACCCAGCAACTCCTCGATTGCAAGCTCCTTGCGCGCAGATTCGTAGAATTCTGCTACTTCTTTGTGGATCTGCTCGTCATGGCCTCTCCATGCAGCAGTAAAACCTTGTAGGACTCCTAGTATGTAGCCCACCTTCAAACCCAGATTTGCGCCTAGGGAGTAGCCTTCATCGAAGCCTTCCTGTACGTATTGCCCTTTACTATTCGCTAGACCCTCGCGATATGCATCTGTGTCTAGCGCACGTTGACGGGATGGAAGGTCTGAGAGTATCTCATGGTTGTGTGCATGTGGGATGTTCGCAGCGAGAGTGGGTGACGCGGGCGCGGAACCGTAGATATCGTCGAGCGCATTCTCGTGCGGAGGCGTTGGAGGAGCATTTCCGGCAGCAAGTTGAGTTGGGCCCAAGGTGGGAGACACATCACCGAGTGCGTTCATAGTGGGCGTTTTTCCCTCCAGCGAGGATCGTGCAAGCTGTAAATTCCATGTTGTGAAATGTACCAGGTGGGGTCAAGAGTGAGGGTTTGGTGGAGACTAGCGTTGTCTTCGGCGGATGCGGAAGCTTGAACTTCTTTGAGCCCAGATCAGCAGTCTTTTACTACCATGAATGTTCGCATCGCTGGAAGTTGTCAGCTAGCATGAGTGAACAGTATTCCGGTAGATTCAGTCCGCTATGTCCAGCTTTGGGTGATGGTAACTCCGTTGACACGGACGGACGAATACTGGCACGTTCGTTTAAGCTGCATCCATCAGGCATTCACTCACTTTATCAAGGACAACCACCCTAAGTTTCAATAGCGATTCATTCATCTCACAGTTCTGCGCAAAACCAACTTTCTCGATTAACACGCCATTACCATGGTTGCTATTGACGTTGTCCGCGCTCACAACGCATCGTTGAAGAGCCTACCGCCAAATCTAGTGGCAGTTTTTGTCGGAGGTACAAGTGGCATTGGCTTCTTCACAGCTCGAGAGGTAAGTCGCGATTACTTGAAGGCATGCAAGATATATACCGACTAGGTAACTCCTACCTCTACAGTTTGTCCGAAACACTACATCACCACATGTTTACTTGATTGGCCGCAATGCAACAGAGGCTGGAAAGATCATGGAAGAGCTCAGCTCCATCAACAGCTCATCCCAGATCAGCTTCATCCAGAAGGACCTCTCATTATTGAAGAATGTGGACGAAGCATGCAGCGAGATCAAGAGCAAAGAAAAGCAAGTCAATGTACTGTTCATGACATGCGGATACCTTACGGTGCAAGGAAGAAACGAGACATCCGAAGGTCTGGACAGGAAGATGGCTGTCCAGTACTACTCGCGGATGCGATTTATTTCTCAGCTCACGCCGCTGCTCGACAATGCCTCTGAAGCTAACAACCTCTCTCGCGTTGTCAATGTTCTGGATCCGCAGGCTGGCTTGAGGCTGGGCGGCCTTGACTACTCTGACCTCTCCCTGAGGCATAACTTTAGTCTCAAAAAGGTGCTGCTGCACGCGAGCGCCATGACAAACCTCTCCGTCACTCACTTGGCAAGTCAGAACCTTAAGACAAGCTACATCCACGAATACCCATCTGCTGTGGATACGGGCATAACGCGAGAACTATTCGGTCGCTTCAACAACGCTGTCACGTTCGTGCTAGGTGGTCTGTTTGGACGTCTCTTCTATGTTCCGCAGGTGGAAAGCGGCGAGAGACACCTGTTTGCTGCCACTGCACCGCGTTACGCCCCCAAGGCAGATGGCGCTCAGACAGAAGTTGTTGGAAGTGACGGAGTGAAGGGAAGTGGAGGCTATGTCCTGAACTGGAATGGGGACATCCTGGCAGATACTAAGAAAGCGCAGAAGCTGAGGGAAGAAGGGGGAATAGAGAAGGTTTGGGAACACACTCAAGAGGTCATGAGCAAGATCGCGGAGAGTGGTAGGTTTACTGGATAGAGTTTGGAGGCTTGCGCCTGACGTAGGATCGAGCGGGCCGGGAGAGCATCATCAATCCATGGGACAACTGAATCGCACTGTGTGGGGCATTATCGATAGGCGCACGTGTTGCGTGATGATACTATCTACAGCTGAGACGTGTTGGTTGGACTATCATGAGGCGCAGCTTGTTGGCGTTGGCGCAGAAGCCAAAAGTGGAAGAACCAGCACGCCCTCCTGTTCGTGTTTGATGGAAAAACAGAGTAGGATGACGCCAGAATTGTTTCTTTATATCTATTCTGTCTTTCTGCGACGCGGCATCGTGGGTGTCCCCGGAAGCGTTGTGTCGGATCGGAGATGGCGTTTATGCGCTCCTTGCCTACTAACAACACATGGCTTCAGCGTCCCCCAGCCCTCTGCACTGGGCACCGAGGCTTCATAAAATGAGGATTCCGGCTAGCGGGAACCCCTATTCATGTGCATAACGATCGCCAGGGACCGGCAACCCAGCTGCACGTCGCCGCCGAAGCGATAAGGATTGCACAAGACAAATCTGCCGCGTCGTGAAGAATGACTGGCTGCTGGATGCAAATTGGCGCGCTGCCGGTGGTTGTCTGGTCAGGCCAGATGTTTCGCATTGAGATTTCGGGCGCGCACCCCCGTCGGTGTCACCATCGCGGTTTCCCGCTGTGCGTCCAACGTCGAGAAGCGACGGCCAATGGCACGGCTGCTTGCAGCCTTGCTCCTTCCGAGACGCGTCACGCCGATGTTGACGTCTGTGGTGTTGCTTCTTGTGGTGGCTGGTCTTCACCACTCCTCCACCTCACCCTCCTTGCGCGATTAAACTACCGGCGATTTACTTTTGTCGAGAATCCGGGGGTGCCATTGCGCCGTATCGTTCCTGCAGTAGTGTCTCGGGCCAAAAGGTTAGTCGAAGCCTCTGACTAGACCCTGGGCCTTTCACCCGCACGCGCCATCGAGATGCGCGTTTGAGCAGGTGCTGACCTTGCGACACCCGCCGGCAGCTCCTCCTTCAATTTCACTTGCACTAGGACGCTGCGAGGTCCGAATTGCTGTGCCGTGCGCAGGATAGCCCGACCCAGCAAGACTGTCCGCTACGCTGCTGCAGTCCTCCATTGCTAAGATTACACGCGCGAAGTCGCAGCCACTGATATTAAGAGCCCTTCCGCCGCCCACCATGGCCACCACCATCGACGACCGGTCCCCTAATCCACCTAATACCTTGGCCCACCAAGACGGTTCTCCTGATCCCTCTGGCCGCCCATCAGTAGCCCAGTCCACCAACTCTGACCAAGCAGGACCACGCAGATCCAGCTTCAACTTCCTGCGCCGAACCAGCGGGAAGAGCTCCTCCGAAGTTCGCGGTAATAGCAGTAATCGAAGCACTTCAATCGGCAAGATGAGCAGGAAGCAGAAGCAACTCGCCCAGGAGGAGGCTCTTCGCAAGCAGCGCGAAGCTACCATGCTGCCTAAGCAGCCGCCGCGCCTGCCTTCTCACTCGGCCCTTCCCCAAATTGCCACGTTTGGAGGTGAAGACGCCCGTCCAGACTCCATTGCCATTGTCTCCAACAAAGCTGGCACCTACAACCCCAGCGCCCACAACTTCAGCCGACCCTCAACCGACACCTACAGGATGGCGCCTATCCCCAGCTCCAGCCCCGCTGTGGCGCCGCCCGTGCCTGGTTCCTCGCAGTCCAACTACATGGACTACGATCCTTACCCAAGGACTGAGAGTATGACCAACCGTGGTCGCTACAGCTATGCCAGCAGCCAGATCAGCACCGTCAACAGCCCCCGCCGTGTGAGGAGGAGGAAGGACCCCACGCCTTTCAAGTAGGTTCCACATTGCACCCTTCGACGTCAGCGCTAACAATTACATAGCATCCTTGTCATTGGTACCAAGGGCTGCGGAAAGTCATCGTTCATTGAGTTCCTCCGCACTGCGCTTGCACTTCCGGCTCGAAAGCGCCCACATACACCCTCACCACCTGCTACAGCCGTGGGTGGTGACGACTCACCTTTCACGTCAGAGTTCCTCGAGACTGAAGTGGACGGTGAGAGAGTCGGCGTCACGCTCTGGGACTCCGAGGGCCTGGAGAAGAACATTGTCGATTTCCAGCTACCCATCATCACCTCTTTCCTCGAGTCCAAGTTCGAAGACACATTTAGCGAGGAGCAAAAGGTTGTACGCGCTCCAGGCGTCAAGGATACACACATTCACTGCGTCTTCCTCGTCCTGGATCCGATTCGCCTGGACCAGAACATAGCCGAGGCTCGCAAGAAGTCCAACGTCGTTAATGCTGGCAGTGCCATCTTCGGTGGTCTGGATGAGCGCCTAGATCTCAACATACTTCGCGAGCTGCAAACCAGAACGACTGTGATTCCAGTCATCAGCAAGGCAGACACAATCACCGGCGCACACATGCGCTACCTCAAGAAGACAGTCTGGGACACTATCAAGCGCGCAAAGTTGGACCCCTTGGAGGCCCTGAACCTAGACCTAGGTGACGATGACGAAGATCCCGACCGACTGGATGAGCGTGATGAGGACGAATACGAGCAGTCGTCTGAGGGCGAAGGGAAATCCGAGGTACTTAACAAGATCCTCGAGCGATCTTCCTCCGAAGCTGCGCGCTCGATTGCTTCATCTGGTTCTTCCACTAGGTCGCACTCACCTCCGACCTCGCCCCCGAGCGCCAGGAAAGGTCACAGCCGCAAACCTTCCGCCATGTCCGCCTCTATTCACAGCGAAAATGCCGAGACTCCGTTCTTGCCTCTTAGCATCATCTCGCCAGATCCTTATGACCCTGAGGTTGTCGGTCGTAGATTCCCATGGGGCTTTGCCGACCCTTACAACCCGGAGCACTGTGACTTCGTCAAGCTCAGGGAGAGTGTCTTCAGCGATTGGCGCTCCGAACTCCGCGAGGCTTCCCGTGAGCAATGGTACGAGGGCTGGAGGACCACCCGTCTGGAGAAGAGCAAACGACGAGTCGCGACTTCCGATGGGCCAGCAACCAGGGGACTCTCCGTCCCAGCGACGAATGGTCGGGCCGTCAGTGCTGGCGGCGGCCAGTATCGGCCATATCGCCCCAACGAGTTCTAAGTGCCTCGATCCTAACACTCACGCCTCTTGCCAGTCCGGCATCATCATCGAGTCAAACCAACTACGGACAACATCCACTCCACAACGAGGCCATCTAACGTTCATCCAGCGAAGCATCTTTTGATCCTTCCACATTCAGCACAACTCAAGCGGTATATGTGTACACTTGGAGGTCTCGATACCTTTTCCTATATCAGTCTGCATCTGGAAGTTTGTGTTTTTATCTGATTTTGAAATTGCGCATACCCTTTTTCGTATTGTTTAGTACCATTCTAGAGTCACGCCGTTCCGACACTGTTCATTCTGTTCAACAAGGATCCGGGTGGTCGATGTCTTTTACGCTGAGCGTAGTAGGAGCAATGCGGGATCAGCTTCAAACCTGTTTATTTAGCGAATGATTAAGATATCAGTGGAGGATTGGTAGCAAACAGATCGTAGGGGTTGAGGGGATTCGACAGAAAAATTGTATCTTATGAAACACTCGTCCCGCTTCACGAACTGTGGCTGTTAAACCTAGTATCGATCAATCTGAGCGCGCAGGGGAGAGACGTGCCGAATACCAAATTCTTGGGTTCGATGCAAAAAGCAAAGTGATTAGCGCAAAGTTTCCAGAAACATGGTCGGGATTACTCGTGGTGTTTAGGGCCGAGATACCAGTTGCCAGGTCCACTCTGACATCTCAACCAACCAATCGCCTGTTCGTATCTCGCATCGTGCATCCTGTCTTGCGCGCGGCGACCATCCTCCTGCTCCCAACGTTCGTCATTAACAACGAGACCTTCTGCATTTGCAATGGTTGCCGGTATCGCGCCTTGAGCGATTTAGATATAAGACATGCGTTATGCTGTCTTTTCCATTTTGTCAGCGTTTGTTTTGACCTGCACCTTCTTCACGCTCTTCCATCTCCTACCTCACGACATTGAGATGGCTTTCTCACGCAACTATGTGCCGCTACTCGTTGCTTCCATAGCCACTACAGCGGTGGCCCAAAATGTTTCAAAGGTAGATTTGGGCTGGTATGCGCCCAAGAAAAGCTGGATCAATGATATTGGCCAAGTCTTGAACGGCACGGGGACGAACGGGTTCCTGTTCAACAGCTCGCATCTACCAGCTGGTATGGAGTACGGAACGTACAACTGGTGTAATATGCCGCATGTGAGGAAAGAAGAGTATGTAAAGGTCGATGATGAGTTCGAGTTGGTGTACGTGGAGGTGTAAGTGTCAATGTCATTTATTCAAGTTGAACTGGGAGTTTACAGTTGGCGTAGTATCCATCGCCATCACAAGCGCACACCTTATGCCTCCAATGCCTTTCCCAAAGAGGCTTATCCCTGGGATTGCAATGACCAAGGTCTCTTCTACTATGGTGAGCCTCTCGATCCCGCCGGTAATACATCTGCGTCAACATATTGGAGTGTCTATACCAATCCTGTTAATCCCTTCGCTGTGGCCGGCTTCAACGGATCGTGCCAGTTCCCGCAAATTACCCGTGAAGGCCTCGACGACTCTTTACAGCACGGCAAAGATCTCTACGGCGTATACCACGACATGCTCGGCTTCCTACCAGACGCCATCAACGAAAAGACAACATGGCGCGTCTCAAATAACGTCATCACTAGCCAAGTCGCCGGAATGTTGATTGAGGGCATGTACAACTCCAAAGACAACGTACCACTGCACGTTCAACCCTCCACCATCGACTCCCTAGCCCCGTCGTACTCCTGTCCAGCAGCCTCTTCTCTCTACAGCTCCTACGGTGTCGGCAGCACAGCTTCAAACTGGACTGCGCACCTCAAGGCCACAGCACCACTCTTCGCTTCTCTCGACGCTATAAGCGGTGTTGCTACCGACTCTTCAGAATGGCATAATTGGTTCGATCACTATTACGACAATCTCT